GGAGCCCTCAGGCCCAGCCCTGGAAGCCTGTGTGTCTTCTGGCCTTTCCAAGCCCCAGCCCCTCACCGGCCCTGGCAGGATAGGAGCCTATCCTTCTGTTCTCTCCAAGGAATTGGTGATATGTAACATGATCCCTCACAGAGATTATGTGTTTTTAAAGGCACCTGGAGAGGGACCCTTTAGGGGCTAGAGAGAGGCCTTCCTGGAACTTGTCCAAACTCATCACATAGGTGGTTGTCTAGGTGCCCGGGGGTCCTGATCCTGAACCCACAGGTGAGCCGACTTACAGGAAATCTCAGGCAGTCAGCTTGAGGTCCCCAGTAGGCTTTGGCTGGACTGCTTGATAGGGAACCCTGAATGCAGGCTTCAGGCCCTATCAGGTTCAGCCAGAGTCTGTCCAGCTTCTTTAGCACACCTCCCCTCCACTCCACTCCATCCCTGCCGGAAGTCAGGGCTTCCACTTCCAGCCCAGACCTGGTCCTGCATGTGCACAGTGCCACACTGTGGCAGACTCCTGCTGCCCCAACCCCGCCTGCCCACCCAAGTGTGTGCTATGCCTGCCTCCGGCTCAACCTATGCAAGAAGGAAGCCAGAATGCCCCCCACCCCGGGACTACTTGAACATACCCCATCCCCACGGAGTGAACTCACACAGTACTTAGGTCCCCCCATGTCTTAGTATCTAATTCACTCACTTCCCCTCCTCTATATAGCAGAGCAGAGGGACCTCTGGACTGGGGTGTCAGGAGCTGGAGTCTAGCCCTGGTCTGTTCTGCTCTACAATGAGCTTTAGGTACATCACCTCTCTGAGTTCCAGTCTGCTCTACAAATTTGGGGGCTATGAATAATAATCTGGGGAGCTAGGTAAACTACAGATTTCTGGGCCTCAGAGACCAATTGAGTGGGTCCCCAGAGATGAGGCCGCAGTTTGTCAAGTTCCTGGGTGATGCAGGCAGCTGTGGAGCACACTCTGAGAAGCTCTGGATGAGTGGGCTGGGTGATTCCATGGCCTTGGAGAGCTTCTATAAGGGCTGGGACTGGGCTGGGGAGCATAGTTTCTATAAGGGCTGGGACTGGGCTGGGGAGCATAGCCACCACAGAGGATAGGATGCATGTCCTGGGAGAAGCAGAGGAAGGGGAGAATGGGCTCAGTTGCCCAAGCAGCCCTCAAAGCCCTGTGAAAAGACTCAGGGCTGTGAGGAGACACCTGCTGGCCTGTGGGGTGTGGCCTCCTCTCAGAAACCTGCTTTCCAAGCAGCAACTAGCACAGGGTGGAGAGCTTGAGGACACCTAAAGCTCCTTGTGAGGTTGCTGTAATGGCAACCTTGACCAGTCCGCACCCTGCAGTTCCTAAGAAAGTCTGTGAAATGATTTTCTTTGCCTTCTGACCCCCAGGGCTCTGCATGGCTGTCTCTGCTCTGTGGATGTGTAGGCATGGTGGGGTTGGGTGGGGTTCTCTCTCACTCTCCCTGGTCAAGGTCCCTAGGGTGACGGTGGCAGAAGGGTGGGTCCACTCAGGAGCCCAGGACTAGCATGGTCCGGGACATGGGGTGAGACGGGGGCAGAGCCAGCTTGGTCTTCACCCTAGAATAATCTGTTCCCAAGTGTCTTTTCCCTGGCCTTGCTGCCTGTCTCCACAGGAGAGAGCTTTTACTCCGTGTAGCCACAGCAAGACCAGATGAAACTCATTAAGCCATACCAAGAAAAAGAAAGGGGTGGACAGCGTCTGTACCTCAGTGGGTAGGGTGCCAGCCCCATACACCAAGGCTGGCAGTTCGAACCCGGCCTGGGCCTGCTAAACAACAATGACAACTGTAACAAAAAAATAGCCGGGTGTTGGTGGGTGCCTATAGTCCCAGCTACTTGGGAGGCTGAGGCGAGAGAATCACTTGAGCCCAAGAATTTGAGGTTGCTGTGAGCTGTGATGCCACAGCACTCTACTGAGGGCGACATAGTGAGATTCTGGCTCAAAAAAAAAAAAGAAATAGAAAAGAAAAGAAAGAGGATGGCTCGGCACCTGTGGCTCAAGTGGCTGGGATGCCAGCCACATACACCTAGGGTGGTGGGTTCGAATCCAGCCCGGGCCCGCCAGACAACAATGATGGCTGCAACCAAAAACAAA